CCCCCTCCGGTACCCCCTCCCGTACCCTCCCCGGTCCCCTCCCCGGTCGCGCACCGGGGGGAGCCTCCCGGCCGAGCACACGCTCCCGGTCACAACCCCCGTTGATTCCGCGGCTGGAGACCCGAACCGGGGCGGAGGCGGCACCCTCCCGGTTCCCCCCGCGGTATCCCCCGGTACTGCCCCCCCCTCCGGTAACCTCCCCGGTCACGCACCGGGGGGAGTCTCCCGGCCGGGCACACGCACCGGTCACAACCCCCGTTGTTTCCACGACCGGAGACCAGAACCGGGGTGGCGGCGGCGGCGGCACCCTCCGCGGGGACCGTGAGACACGCACACACACCCCCCCTCCTCGCACGGTGCCCGGGGACAGCCGCCCCCGGGGCGGTGATGGGGCTCCGCTGCCGTCTAGGGGAAAAGGGAGGAAAACGGGCCGCCGGTGATACCGGCGCGGAGGGGGATGAAGCCCCGCCGGCCCGCCCGCTCCACCTCCCGGCGCGGCGCGGTCCCGCAGCGGCGGCGGGGAATTCCCTGCGGCCTCCGGTGCCGGTGGCTGCCGGTCTCCGCCGGCTCCGGGCGGCAACCGAGAGAGCTGCACCGCGCTCTCCACGCAACGGCGGCTGCTAGAGCAGCCCCACCGGGCACACGGGGCCATTTCGGTAACGGGAGCAGCGCTATTTCTCACGCACTACGGTTACGGGCACCGGATCCGTCCTGTGAAGCCCCCCCCTCCCCGTTCCTCTGACCGAGGAGGGAACGGAGAAGGTGTCCCCAGTTAAAAGGCCGTTGTGGGGGCTGGCACCCAGCACACAGCTCGGGGCAACCAGCCCTGGAGACACCCCGGCCCACGGGCACAGTCTGCTGATGGATGAAATAAAAGTAAAATCACTGCAAGACACAAGAATTTTTATATTAAATTAATTTTCGGAGCATTCCTCTGGGCGGTTTCTAGTCCTGCCATAAACCCACCACCCCATCAGCGAGGTCCTGGGCTGGAGAAGGTGGCCTTAAACCCCTGGAAATTGTGATAGGGGATTTTTTTTTGTCAGCTGAAGGTGAAGACAGCGCTTGTGGCAGGTAAACACCTCCGAGCTGCTCCTCAGCAGAAGCTGAGGGACCGGACGGACGGACGGACATACACCCACCGCTGCGTCCCTGAGAAAAGGGCAGGCGACGGCGGGTGGGGAGAGGAAACTCCTCGACTGGGGGATAAGGGTCAAACCTTGCAACGGCTGGAAAGTGGATTTAGGCCAAGGCAAACAAACAAACAAACAAACAAAAAAAACCCAAAGAAAACAAGTCAGTCTGTATCAGTGCGGTGTTTTTAGCAGAGGAAGGCTGAGACAGCACGAGGCCCTGGGAGACCTCAGCACCCAGAGCTGGTGGTGGTGTCCAAGAAACACAAACCGTGATGGGAAGGAGCACAAGGAGGGCTCAGAGGCTGTTTGGGGACACAGGAACCCTCTGCGACAGCAAGAGCATGAGGGAGCTCGGTTTTCCTATCCTAGAAGGAGAAAAGAAGCTATCAGGTGATCCGCTGCCATCTATAAATACACCCAGGGACTGAGTAAACATCATGGAGAGAAAAAAAATAAAGTGAAGCTGAAGAACAGCGCTGGCACAGAGTCACATTTATAGAAACTGGCCAGGAATGAGTTTAGACTGGAAGGGAAGTGACAGCTCCCACCCGGTCACGCAGGGAGGTCCTCAGCAGGCTTGGACGGAGCCACTGGGGTAAATGACATGGTCCTCTTCAAAGGACCATTTGGGAAAGATGACAAGGCTGCGGTGATGGGGGACAGAGCCCATGGCCATGGTGGGTGGCTCGAGCTTGTGTTCCTACCTCCAGGAGGTCAAGATCTGCCCCAGCAGAGAGCACCAACACCTCTTTGCTTACAGACAGGACCTGCTCTCGGGAGCCTCTTCCCACCGGCTGGCTTCAAACCACTGCAGCGGGATTTGGGAAGTCGCAGATCCAGCAGGGGAAGGCATTAGCTCCTCCCTCACCCGCCAGCTCTGAGAGCTCACAGACCTCCTGCATCCAGAATTAAAACGGCAGCAGAAGAGCCGGAGGGAAGCATCCCTGAGAAGAAGACACCAGCGCGACCACGCGCTGAAAATCCACTGCTTGTTTTCCTCACACCGCCCGGACGGGGTGAAGGTGCTTCATCTTCAAGCAGGGAAAAACATCCTGCCTCCCAGCCCAGCCCGGGAATGTGAAAGGCTCTCGCAGCAGCAGCCGCAGCGTTTTCTCAAAGCCGGGTGCGTGTTTCGGTGTCGGGGAAGGATCTCAGGTTGTTGTCAGATATTTCCATGCTGTACCCAGGGCCAACCGGCTCACGTGATACTCACTTCTGGCACAACGCTGCTCAGCTCACAGGCTGAAAATAACCCACAGATTAGGGAAAAAATGGCTGCTTATAAATAAAATGTGGGGCTGTCCCTGCCACTGTAATGAAAAAGCATCAAAACAAATAGCAGCCCCTCCAGAAGAGAGGTCTGGCCAGGCTGCTGCTTGAATCTGGCCAGGGTGAGCGTTTTTATTTATACAGTGGAATATTTGGTGTTATAATCACGGCAGTGGGTGATACCCCTGCAGGGAGGAGTGCTGCATGCTGTCTGCACAACTCACCCCCATGGGACTGTGGCCATTCAGTGCCTCGCGCTGCAGAGAAGCACCCGCAAAAATCAAAAAGGAACAAGTAAAACCCACTCTGTTTTCTGAAATGCCCCCAAACCCCAGCTCAGCAGTGCCAGAACAGAAGAAGGATTCACACAGAACTCTGTGTGAGACACAGCCTGCAATGTAGATGCTCTGGACACTCACAGCCCACTCGCATTCCCGCTGCCCTCCGGTCTCCGGCACTGCTCTGGGCTCAGCTCTGTAAGTGAGAGTTCAAAAATTACTTCAACACAACTAGAAAATGAAAAAAAAAAACCAAAACCCACCCTGAAAGCCTAAGGCTGCCGGCAAGTTTCCACACTTTGGAGAATATTTCTCACCATGTCTTTGATTTGGAAGGCGGCTGGGAAACCCAACTCCTGAAGGGCTTTGGTAACATTTAATTTTCATTCAGAGGCTTTCATGCCATGTGAAAGAAGAGAAAAATATACAAGAAACTTCTACCACTTAGATACATCTACAACCGGTTCGTGCTGCAAATCCTCGTTGGCGTCTCGCCTGCCTTGGGTGGCAGAGACTTTGTTCCCATCTCACTCGGGCAGCCCGAGGTCCTCCTGGTGAGGTGGTGATGCTGCAGCACCTTCACTGCATCTCAGCCACCCATGGCGATGCGACGCCGCAGCAGGAGCAAGGCGGGGGAGCCAGTAGGAGCTTCAGGCACCCAGGGAAATACCATTTTCTGGGTAACTTTTGTCCTTATCAGGGCTAGAACAGCACTGGGTGCACAGGTTGATGGTCACAGCCCAGCTGCCACGTCTGCTCTTGCACAATTGCAGCTTGGTATCGCGTGGAGTTTAAAAGGCCGTCGATAAACCCCGTGCCGTGCCACGAGCTTTTGCATGTGCTGCGCATGTACATGGAAACGAAAGCAGCCAGAGCCACACGGATAAACCCCTGCAGACCCAGATCCCTTTTGAGATAAGCAGCTGATATTAATTTTCGCTGAACCTGCTTGTGACAGCCCGTCACCTCCCTCCAGCCCAGCTCCACAAAATAATCCCCTCCAGCAAGAAGCACCTTTACAGCAAGAGGCTCCGAGCAGCATTAGTGGAGCTGGGACAGGGAAAGGCGAAAGCTGATGGGGTGAAACTGTTTTTTTTCCTGTGCATTTCCCAGCTGAGCCTCCAAGCAGCCCCACTTCCATTTACGAGGAGGATGTGTCCCCCTGAGCCGACAGGGACCAGAAGATGCCACCACTTCCTCCATAGCATCGCTGTCCCTCCAGACTGTGGCAGACACAAAATGGGACAGACAGGGCAGGGTGGGCAGAAAACAGCCCTGAAGCACTGCAACCCCGTGGGGCTGCCACCGCTGAGGATCTCAGCGTCACCTGTCCTGAGGGTCCATGCCAGCAACACAGCGCAGAGGAAAGGGGGTGAATGGGCTCGATGTGTGTCCAGTTCACAACTGGGAGGAGGACCTTGGCTCCCCACACACTGGGGTCAGAGGGGCCTCCTGGGCTCCTGCTGCCCCAGCCCAGGCTGTGGTGGCTCAGGTGGCCACAGGGGTGGCCGGTGGCTCATCGGCGGGGCTGGGGGTGGAATCGGCGCTGCCGCTGGTCACATTCTCATATTTCGGCTCTTCCTCTGGGACAGCCTGTCCCTTTGTTTCCAGGCTAAGGGCTAACTCAGGACTTTTGCTCCTGTCTGTGGCACCTGCAGCATCTCCAGCCCCATCCTGTGCCCCGGTGCTTTTTGGCGAGGGAGACATGAAAAGGAAGGACCGTCTCTTCCCAGGGAGATTCTGGTTCTTGCCAGGGGATGACTCAGTGAGAGCCCCTGGGACACTCTCCCTCTGCTTGCAACTATTCACCGAGTCTCTGCCCTGCGCCAGGGCCCGGCGGGGTGGTTTCTGGATGGCTTCAATGCTCCTCCTCACCTTGGGCTCCTCCTTCGCACCCCATTTGCCCTTCTGCAAGCTGCCCAGCCGCTTGAGCACAGCCTGGACCGGTCCCTCGCCACCACCCTCCACCTTGGGGTCCTGCCCGGCTGTTCCCACCATCATGTAGATGGTGGTGACGTTGGGGTCCTTCCCTTTTGCTTCCCAGCTGCCAGATTTTGCAGCCGCTTCAAGCGCCTCCACTCTCTGGGCCACATGCCTGGTGCCAGAGACCACCCGCCGGCGTCCCCCTGGGGTGGGCCGGGGTGATGGCCGGTGGCTTTCTTCCACCTTGCTAAGGGGCTCGGGGGTCTCGTAGCAATCGCTGGCTGGTTGTTCAGCGGGGGGCTCAGCTGCTGTGTCCCCCGGCGCTGAGGACAGCTTGGATGGGCCCCACGGGGTCTTGGGCTTCCGCCCGAGGCTTGGGGTCTCCGCTGCCCCAAATTTCGTCCCCTCGGCAAAGGACACGGAGGGCCGCTTGGCCTTGGCGAGGCTGGAGGTGCGAGGGATGGCAAAGGGCTGCGAGACGTCCTCGGAGTCGAAGGCAGATGGGTCTGGGAGCACCTCGGCAGGGGGGGATGCCCCATCCTGCAGCTCAGCCCCCCCCAGCAGCGGGATGCCTGTGGGAGAAGAGGATGAGATTTAGGGCTGCCAGAACTAACCCCGTGCCCAGGAACACACTCAGGGACATTGGGACAGGGGATGATGCAATAGGATTGTCCCTGGGACTGTTTTCCCTCGAGGAGGTTGTGAAATGGGGCTGCCCGTGCCAGGCATGTCCCGTCACACGAGGCCAACCGTAGCCCCGGTGTGTCCTTGCAGACAGGAAAAGGAAGGTATAAAAATAAATGTGTCTGTGCCCAGACCCGTCCCTGGGATGCCCAAGTTGGTACCGGGGCAGGATTCACCCCGGGCAGCCCAGAAGGGCTGTGGGTGGCTGGGGAGAGGAGGAGCAGCCATGGCCATCACCTTCTCTGGGAGGAACAGAGTACTCGGGTCCCTCGTTGTCGGTGTCGAAGGAGGAGAAGGAGCTGTCTGAAGCCCACGCAGCTGATGGCGGCTCGATGAAGCTCGGGTTGAAGGGGATTTCTGTGTCGTGGTGGGAAACTGGGGAGGAGAAGACACCCAGCTGAGCTCAGACACCCCAGGGTGGGAGGGCAACGCCTGCTCCGAGCCATGCAGTGGGGTGAGGGGGGTTGCAGACTCCCCCCCAGATGGTGACGATGGAGAGAGCGTGGGGTGGAGGTGATGCCCTGGAAGAGCTGTTGGCAGCTCTACTTGTTTTACCTGTGACTTTGGGAAGTTTGTAGCCGCCCAGGGAAAAGCAGGGCATCATAGCGCTGAGGTTGGCCATCACCCCCCGCACGTGGTGCTTCATCCTGGCCACCACGTCATCATCTGGCACGGCCGCCCTGCAGAGCGGACATGGATGTCAAGGGACATGGGAGACAGAGGTTTGCATCAAGGATTGCAAAATATAAAAAAGAAATACCTGTCTCTAGAATCTGCTGGGCCAGCTCCACAGCAACAGCAGGTGACACAGAGCAGGAGCAGCAGGAGAGGAACAAGGATGGCGGCTGCGAGGGCCCCATGGTCCTTCAAACCTATGCAGAGATGATGGGTTGAGTCCAGCGTGTCCTGTGCCTGCCAAGCTGGTAGAGCTCCCCTCAACAGAGAGCGCAGGAGCTGGCAACTCCTGTTGGGACCAGGAGGCACCAAGTGGGACCGCGTCACATCACAGCCTCCCAGCACCTTCCCCAGCAAGGACATTCCAGTGCCCAGTGCCGAGGAATAAATTTGAGGTTGCTCTTACTCAACACGCAGTCACCCCGCACAGGGTGGCAGGTCCCCCGGGAGCACTGGCAGGGCGAGGAACAGTTCACTCCAAAATACCCCTCCGGACAGGTGTCGTTGCAGCTGGAAGAGAGAAGAAAGGAGGGAAATGCCTGCAGGGAGAGCGGGGCCCCGACCCTGCCCTGCTCCCGGCGTTACCTGGCTCCCCAGTACCCAGCCTGGCAGAGACAAGCTCCTGACTCGGGGTCACAGCTCCCCACAACGCACTCGGGGCAGAGGAACTGGCATCCATCGCCGAAGGTGCCCGCGGGGCAGGAGCTGTTGCAGCTACCAAGAGAGAGGAGAGAGAGCGAAGCATCACCCCGCTGCGCTCCAGAGCAAGGACAACCCCCTGTGAGGACCGGTGGCCTCATCCTGTGCATACCTGGGTCCCGTCCAGCCGGGCTCACAGTGCTGGCAGGACCCGGTCTCTGGGTCGCAGACCTCCCCTTGCCGGCAGCGGGGACACGGCTGGAGGCAGTCCTCGCCGTAGAAACCGGGGGCACAGGGCTCCTTGCAGAGGGTCCCGTTCCAGCCGGGCTGGCAGGCCAGGCAGAAGCCATCCACGGGTGAGCAGGGCTGGCTGCGCTTGCAGTTCCCGCAGCTGCACGGGCAGAGGGGCAGTGAGACCTTGGCACCCACCCCTGACCCCCTCCAAAATGCAGGTTTCACCCCACATCGGCACTGAGCATCGGTTTGGACGGCAGGGAAATACTCAGTAGTGCCCTATGCTCTGTAGCAGCAAGAGGGCAGGAGGCCAGCAGGGAGAGATGTTGCTTTATCACCCTGGGGAGTGAGACCAAGGACGACCAGGCTTCGGGGTGACACCAATGCTTTCTGCTGGCATTACTAAGATGTTTCTTTTAGGGCAATGCTGATGCTCCATCCAACCAGGGATGCCCAAACCCCCCAGGACGAATCTCCTTGTCCAGCCAAAGGGACCGATATGACCACAATGCCTTCCCCCTCAAGGTTTGACTGCAACCCCTCGGTACCCGCTGAACCCCCCCAATGCCCCCAGCTCACCTGACCTGCTGAACCCCCCCACTGCCCCCAGCTCACCTGTGCACACACTGGGACCCATATTTCCCCGCTGGACAGGGCTCCCGGCAGCTCCTGCCCTGGTAGCCGGGGATGCAGCTGCAGTGGCCGCTGAGGGGGCTGCAGGAGCCGTGCAAGCAGTCGCAGCGCCGCTGGCAGGCCGGCCCCCAAAACCCAGCCTTGCATTCACACTTGCCCGTCTCCTGGGCACAGGGCGAGAGGTTGCAGGAGCATTTGAAGCTGCACCTCCTGCCCCACCAGCCCGGCAGGCAGCGGCAGTGCCCGGTGAGGGGGTCGCAGTGGGAGCTGGCGGGGTTGCACTGACATTGCTTCTTGCAGGTGGGTGCCCACCAGCCCGGCTCGCAGCGACAGGCACCGGTGAGGGGGTCGCAGCGGCCGTGGGGGCCACACTGGCAGGGGAACTGGCAGAGCCCTCCCCAGTGGTTGGGGTCGCAGGTGCAGTGCCCGCTCACAGGGTCGCAGCGCCCGTTGGGGTGGCAGGGGCAGGTCCGCTTGCAGTCGGGACCCCAGTACTGCTCAGGGCAGCCTGCGAAGGGAAGGAGATGGTGAGGACGTGGTGGTGGGGTGACAGGGAAGCCTGGCAGGTCCCCGAGCATCTGGGCTGGCGACGGGGATGGCAAGGGCTGAGGTTTGGGGAAATACTCACGGGAACTGCAGTCTGCTCCAAAAAAGCCGGGTTTGCAGAGACAAACCCCAGGTCTCACGCAGACCTCGTCCTCCTTGCAGGCATCCTCCCCCTCGCAGAGAGCTGTCGGCGGCAGGATGGGCATGTCAGGGCACGATGGCCCCCACCCCGGGCTCACATCCCACTGGTCACTCACTGGTCACCCGGCCACCTCCCATCAAGGCAACCTTCCCGGGGAAACCTCCATCCCACTTTCCCCTCCATCCCTCCGGCCGAGCCGCAGCACCGTTAGCAGCTTGCTCGGTGGGCATTTGGGGGTCCCCACGCTGCAGCACCCCACCGCCACCGCTCGAGGAGAGCTGTAGGGCTTCTCCCCCCCCCAAAACCCAGTGCCACAGAGGAGCCACCTGACCGAACTTTGGGCTTCATCACCATCCATCACTCACCGGCCGTGCACTCCTGCCCTTCCTGCTTCCAGCCGGGGCAGCACGCCGGGCCGGCGGGGAGCCTGCGGGAGAGACCCGGGGACCGTCAGCCGGGGCAGGGGGGATCCCGGGGCTGGTGGAGCTTCGGGTAAAGCCAAGTGAATGCGGGCGCTGGGCCCGGCGGGTGGGGGAACAGCGTGGCCCCAGGGGCATTGCTCCGGAAGGAAGCCAACAAAATAGAAGGAAATTTAAGAGGCTGCAGCCCGAGCGGGTGATGGGGCTGGGAAGGGGGGTAAGCCTGCCCGGCTCTGCCGATACGGAGCCCGATATGGACACTCTGGGAAGGGCTCGGAGCTTTGCCAGCGACCCAGAGCAAAGGCAGCGAAGCGAAGGCAATGATGGGCACCACCACTGATGACGAGATCAACAGGAGAGGCAACGTAGCAGCAAAACGGAGGGGGTGGCAGCTCCAAAAGCCCTTCGGGGTTTCCAATGTCTACGTTTCCCACCTGAGGCACCATAGAAGTTTTGTCAACGCTCCCCCCGTTGCCCTGTGCACTGGGGGTACATGAGAAATAGCCCCTGGAGAAGGGGTCTAGGCACACCACATGTCCATGCATGCCCCAACCACGCTGCCCAGCATCACCCCTGGCTCTGCCCCCGCTCAACGCCAGGCTGGAGATCTCCAGCTATGGAAGGACAGATGGACGGTGACCCCCTGGGGCTGTTGAGAGGCCCCAGGAGACGGAGGGGCACGAGTGGGGACCCCCGCGGCACCTACCTGCAGACATTCCTGCCGTCGGGGTCGAGCTCCTGGGCAGAGCTCTGCACCCACAGCCACAGCTGGAGGAAGAGGATGGGCCGGGCGCTCCCCATCCCGGCGGAGCACGACGGCCCAAGTCCCAGCAGCTCCTCAGCCCCACGCCGGTGTCCGTCTGTCCCGTCCTGTCCCTCCTGCGGAGCGGCCTCTTCCTCCCACCAGCCTTGGGTTTCTTCCTGAGGAAATGTGGGAGGAGGCGCCCCGATCCAGACGTCAGGGGTGCGGCGGGGAGGGGGAGGCAGGGAATGCCGCTGAAAAGGGCTATTTTTGGCCCTTGCCACCACCCTAGCAGCAGACATGGGTATCCAGAGGCTCAGACCAGCCACGCATGGACTGGTGCCTACCTGGACATCCCACCTGTGGTCGTCCCGCTCCCCTTGTGCCATCCTCCATTGCCCTCAAAAGCTGTTTTAGCCAACGTCCCCCCAACCCACATGAGGTGTCCACTGCCTCTTCCTGCCCCAACCCTCGTGAGCTGCCCCATGGCGCTGCCAACCAACCCCCTGGCAGGGGCTGAGAGGTGGGGTCTCCACATTCTCCATGGGGACGTGGCCTTCCCCAGGCTGGCCTTTGAACCGCTGCTGGCTGCCATCCCACCTCGCCGGCTCCCCAGGAGCTTTGTGTCAGCAGATGCACAGGAAACACCTTTTTCCTACCCAAGGCCAGCTCCCTTGACGGGAGGGGGGGGGGCCCTGGGCTGGAAGCACATTGCTCCCCCCATCATGCAGGACTTAACTCCATCGTGCCCAGCCCTGTAGCCCTGCTCCCCATGGCAGCCGACCCCTCCAAAAAGTGCTCAGGAGCCTGGCACAGTGCAGCTGGCCACAGCCCTTTATATCAGCACCCAAAAGCAATGGCTACGCTGGAAAACTAGGACTGAAGCCCAGCAGCATCACCCAGCCCTTCCTCAGCCCAGAGAGAGAGGAGGAGAAATGAAACTGATTTATTTCAGACTCCAGTTCTAGAGCTAGAAAATACCTGACCCGAGGGCACCGACTCGCCCCGTGAACATGAGGATTGTCCCAGTCTTCCAGTTCCCAGTAACGGCAGGAAGAGGTTCCAGTACAAAACCCATTCCCCCCACGCCTGACCAGTGCAGGAGTGGCACTGGTGGCACTGACCTGACTGCTCCCAGACACCCGGTGCTGCGTGACCAGCCCTTCCCAGCAGTGCCAGGACCCCAGGACAGTGCCCAGCTGGTCCCAACTCGACCTTCACATTGCAGGGGTGGGGGGAGGTACGAACAGAAAGGGGTGAAGTGAAATAACCCCAGGGGGCAGGATCCAGTGTGAGGAGAAGTGTTTGGCAGAAAGAAGCCCCTTTTGGGGTGCCGCAGTGAGAAATGGGTGCAGATTCCTGCCCCGCTGAGCTGCAGGCATGAAGAAGTGAGGAGCAGAGCCACGGCTGTTCAGGACCCTCAGAGCTAAACCACGGGCACAACAAAATGGTGGCTGACAGGCAGTGATGCCTGGAGGTGCCGAGCTGTCCCATGCCAGGGGGCACCCCACGGCCAAGCATCCCAGAGGGTTTGGAGGAAGGCTGCCTGCGCTGCAGCTTCGCCATCGCCACGGCATGGGGAAGGATCCAGGGCTGCTGTGCCGCTCTCGAAGATGCCAGAAAAGGAACCAGGAAGCACCGCTGCGAGGCCGGATCCATCTCCCCATCAGGTGGGGTCAGGGGGGTGGTGTGGCTCTGTCGGGGGAGCCGGCCACCGGCTCGCTCTCTCCCTCCTGCTCTAGCTGCGTGTCCAGAGAGTCGATGATTTCCCATGTTCCGGAGCAGCTGGATGTGGGGGGGTCTTTGCTGCTGCCCTGATACCACAGCCCGAAACTGCAGAGAGAGCAGATAACGGCTGTGGGGGAGAAGAGCCTTCCCAGGGAAACGGCCAGATCCCAACCTCCCTCTGTGTTTGGTGGCAGCAGCAGGACACAGCCCGGCTGCGAGCCCCTGGGAGCGTGCAGCATCTCTGAGACCTCAGCCAGGCCTGCAAAGCAGACTCCCTTGAACCAAGTGACCCTCCTGCATCAGTGTCCCTGCCAGCCCTGCACCAGGCAGCGCGGCTCCATCCCCGTTGTACCCTGCAGGGCAGGCACCGGCTCCACAGCTGAGCCCCAAACCTCCTCTCTGTTGGCTGAGCCACCCGTCCCCAGCAGCACCGGAGCACAGGAATGAACTTACAAGCTCCTAATTTTGGACTCGGGAGGCTGAGCATCCACGCAGTCTGTGCCAGTAGCTGGGTGCCAGGAGCCCTCATCTTCATCGCTGCAGCACAAAGGAGTGTGGGGGGGGAAACCTGTGCTGAGTCACGGGCTTGACACGAGTGAGTGTCAGAGCCACCCTGGGACTCCCTCCCGAGCTGAGCAATGTCCCTGCAGAGCCAGGGGCACACAGACCAGAGCTGCTGTCCCCACAAAGCACCATGGGGGTGTGACGTGCCACAAAGCCACAGCCAGCTGTAGGGATGCTCGTGGCCCAGATGGAGCCCATCATGGCAAGCCCAGCCCCAGCTCGGTGATCTCAAGCCACAGGGCTCTTCAGGCACCAGCTTCAAACCCCTGAGGCTTGGTCACAGGGACACCTGGTCAGCAGGTGATGCTTGGATGGTGCATCCCCAGTTGCCACAGCAGTAGAGTCTTTAGACATCTCACCCCCCACGGCAAGCACACGCCTCTATGGGGCAACAGCCTGACAACTGGCACCACGGATTGCAGCTCGGAGCTAAGGCAGGTGACAGCCAGGCCTCACAGGGGGACACAAGAGGTGACCGCAGGGCAGCACTCACACGGCAGCAGCTACCCTCGAGCAGACAGGACCCAACACCCCCAGATCCCCCCCAGCTGCCAGCAGAGACCCCGACACGAGCAAGCAGCAGGTTTCAGAAGCACAGAAGAGCTCAGCCCCCCCTTCAGACCTTTATTAAAGCCCCTAAAAGCCCGTGAGATCCAGCTCCACCCGTGCCATAGAGCAGCTTTAGCGCAGGCTTCACCCCCCCCAGCCCCCCCGCTGCCAGCAGACACGCAGAGACACCGCCGGGGTCCTCCCCTCCCCATCGTGAGAAGCCTCTTGGAGCCAACGCTGCCCACGACCGTCTCGCAGAGCCTCCAGGGAACAGCTCTACTGGCATCTTCAAAGGCTCTCTGTTGGACAGACAGCCTCCAACCGCCCCGCGCAGGGACCAGCCTGCCCCGTCCGGCGGTCCCAGTGCCACCACCTCACCTCCCTTGTGCCACTGCCCCAGGGGGACGGGTGGCATTTGGCCAGGCTGTGTGTGACTGGTGACAGGGAGGTGTGAGCAGCAGCAGAGGAGAGCCCAGCCCCCTGTGTCGCTCCCAGGGCTAAGCCAGGGCAAGGCACCCACTGCTGACAATAGACCTTTGATCTCTGGAAGAAGGGAGGGAGGAGAAGGGCAGCTTTTGGCCTGGGGGAGTTCCCTTCCAGGGCATCAAACACACTCCGGTGCCACCAGCTGGCATCCACCCTGCATGGGAGGCTCCCCGTCCTCCCTCCTGGTGAGCAGGACTCACCTGCTCGCCGACTCCTCCTCTGTTCCCAGCATTTTGGCTCTGATTTTTTTTCTCTGTCTTTTGATGGTTGACTTCATGGCGTCCAAGAAGAAGCTGGGAACTCGCTCTTCGTTCAGCAGCTCCCTGGCAAAAAGCAGCCAGCTGGTTAACTGAGAACCTGGCAAAGAAATCTTCTCCTGACCGCGCCAGGAGTGGCCTCTGGTGGGTCACGGGTGGCTGCAAGGACAGGAGGGACCCGGCTCTCTGCTCCACGCCGGCGCAGCAGGACTCACCGCTGGTAGTAGGCCAGCTCCTCCTGCACCAGGAACAGGTTGGTCTTGAGCTCGTTCCGCTCCTGCAGGATCTCCTGCAGCTCTTCCTTGGAGAAGCAGCAGTGAGCAGGGCTCCTGCCCGCATCCTGGTGCTGTGGCTCCTCCGTGGGTGACGGCACTCCCTCCTGGGGGGCAGAAAGAGAGTCAGCAGGCAAGGGGAGACCCTGAAGGCCTCAGCCCAAGGCTGGGTGCCACGTGTAGGCAGAGATGGAAAAACCTCAGGAGTGAGTTTGCTAGTTCGGAGCTGCTGCAGCCCTCCCTGGATCGTGGTGGCTCCCCAGCCAGCACCCACCACCCATCACCACACGTGGCAAACCCTCCTCATCCTCTGAGTCCCACCTGGCTTTTCCTCCCATCACCTCGCCTCGCTCACTCCTACCTCCACCTCTACCAATTTTTACAGACAAGGTGTTCCTGACGTGGCAGGCACTGGCATCGCTCAGTTTCCAGCACTGGGGCTTACTCCAGCAGCCATATCCTGCTGGCAGCAGGTCCGGGTGTGCCAGGAGCCCCGTGCAGGGCTGGGAAGGTTGGGCCAGCGTTAGCCATACCCTCCAGCAGCAGGGCCGTGGACTCACCAGACTGGAATTTGGCTGCTGGGTCTCAGGGGTGACCCTGCTCCTCCTGCTCATTTCCCTCTGGGTTTGCTGCATGGCGGCCTCCAGGTCTGACTTCTTCTCCAGCGCGCTCTTGAGCTGAGCCTGCACGATGGCCACCTTGTGCCGCAGGTCCTCGTTCATGGCCATGAAGCGATGCAGTTGCTCCTGCAGCTGGAAGGCCCAGGGCCAGCCCAGGGTGAGGCGCAGCAGCAGCAGAAGCTCCAGGCCCCCACCCTGAGGGACATCAGCCCCAGGAGGAAAGGCATCTGCCCCAGCAGGCTCACCAACCGCCGTGACAGCCCCAGGGCCAGGTGACATGAAAGCAGGTCCCCAGGCCCTTCACACACCACACCCTCCAGCTCCCACCCACTCACCGCCTCCGTGTCTCGGCTCTTGCAGACGATTTCGTGGGCTTGGGCACGAAGCTCATCCCGCTGCTTGTCCACCACCTCCTTCAGCCGCAGCATCACCTCCCGCTCCTTCCGCGCTGTGCTGTCTGAGCCCAGACATGGGGGGGGGACAGGCGTGAGTGGCCCCCGGGACACAAGGGCTCCCCCCAGCCCCACAACACCATGGGGTTCCTTGATGTTTCTGCAAGGCTTTGTTCTACCACGGCTTCTGGTAGACGGTAGAGTAGGAACAGAGGAAAGAGGGGAGCTGAGAGCTTTAGGCTGTGCCCGAGGCATCCTTGTACCCTGTGTCTGCCCCCACCACCCTCCTGGGGACTTGGGGGTGCTCTGGGGGCTTGGGGTCCCTATGGCTTACAGAACAAGACAGCACTTGCATGCCCTGGTGGGACGGGTCTCCAGGGCTGGGCAACAAAGAGAACATGTTCAGCCCTGTACCCAGCCCGATGTCCCCCCCATGGGACCCCAAACCCACCGGGACACCCACCTTCCTGGGACTGGCTCTCTGCAAGCTGCCCCAGGAGCTGCTGGTTCTGCTCCTCCAGACGGGCCAGGCGGCCGTGCAGGGCTCGCTCCCGGCGCTCGGCCTCCCACAGCCTCTGCTCGGGGTCCTGGGGGACAGGGACAGCCGGGTCAGAGCCACCACGGGGGGACAGGGACAGCCGTGTCAGTGCTGTCCTAGGGGAATGGGGACAGGTAGGTGGGAGCCATCCCAGGGGGACAGGGACAGTAGAGTCAGTGCTGTCCTAGGAGAATGGGGACAGGTAGGTGGGAGCCAACCCAGGGGGACAGGGACAGCCGGGTCAGAGCCACCACGGGGGGACGGGGACAGCTGGGTCTGAGCCAGCCAGGGGGACAGGGACAGCCGGGTCAGCGCTGTCCTAGGGGAATGGGGACAGGTAGGTGGGAGCTGTCCCAGGGGTTGGGGACAGTAGGATCAGTGCTGTCCTAGGGGTATGGGGACAGGCAGGTGGGAGCCATCCCAGGGGTTGGGGACAGCCAGGTCAGAGCCACCACAGGGGGACAGGGACAGCTGGGTCTGAGCCAGCCAAGGGGACAGGGACAGCCAGGTCAGTACAGTCCTAGGGGAATGGGGACAGGTAGGCGGGAGCCATCCCAGGGGCTGGGGCCAGCCGGGTCAGTGCTGTCCCCACGGGTGAGACCAAGCGTGGGGTCACCGCCACCTCGTAGGCGACCCCCCCGCCCCTTTGCCCCGCTCACCTCCGCGTCCAGCCGCCCGCCCGGCGCTGCCGCCGCCGCCTCCCCCTCGGTGCCCGTCGGGGCCACCAGCGCCTCCAGCAGCTCCAGCAGCCGCACGACGGGCGGCACCAGCCCGGCCACCGCCTCGGGCCCGAACCGGCCGGAGAGACGGCGGAGCTCGGCGCCCAGCGCCTCCGCCATACGGTAAATGTGCGGCGGGGCCAGGCGGGTCGGCGGCGTCCGCCACAGCGGCTCCGTTCCCCGCCGCGGCTCCGCCATCCCCCGCCGCCGCCGAGGCCCCGCACACGCTCCGCCCCGTCCCGCCCCGTCCGGGGCCGCCCCCGCCGAGGCGGGATCTCAAAGGACGCGCTCCCGTTGGTACAAAATTTATTGAGCAACTGGATGGGGGACAACAAGGCGAGAAGAAGGGGGTGGGCGGGGAGGATTTTTGGGGAACACACAAACACACACAGAGGCTGTTGAATATCAACAGTACTAAGAGTGGGGCAGGGCAGGGTTAGGCGTAGAGGTCCTCCCGGTCGGCGGAGTAGACCTCCCCCTCCTGCAGCAGGGCGAAGTTGAGGAAGTGGGAAGGACGATGGACCTCGTGGTAGAACTCCTTGGGGTTGGCGAGCTGCAGCTCGTACTTCATGTTGGGGTCGTGGCGAACACCTACGAGAGAGAGGCCATCAACGAAGGGTAATGAAGCCCTTTAACCCTCATGAGATGAGTATTAAGCAGACCATGCCCAAAAAGAGAGTTCTCTCCTTCAGAGAGTTGGGGGAGTTCAGCTCCACAGAGACCTTAGAGGCCCTTGCAGTCCCTAATGGGGCTCCAGGAAAGCTGGGGAGGGACTCTTGATGAGGGAGCAGAGCCACAGGATGAGGGGGAATGGTTTTAAACTGAAAAAGGGGAGATTTAGATTAGATATTAGGAAGAAATTCTTCACTGTGAGGGTGGTGAGACACTGGAACAGGTTGCCCCGAGAAGCTGTGGCTGCCCCATCCCTGGAGGGGTTCAAGGCCAGGTGGGACAGGGCGTTGAACAACCTGCTCTGGTGGGAGGCGTCCCTGCCCAGGGCAGGGAGTGGAACCTGATGGTCCTTAAGGTCCCTTCCAACCTAAACCATTCCATGAAAATCATCACCCTTTGGATTCCTCCCCATAGAGCCATCTATGGGGATGTCCCCATAGTCTTCCTCCAGTCAAGTGTTTTATCTGCCCCTCTCCCCTCAGTCTGTGCTTCATCCCTACTGGGCACAGCTTTTCTCCTGCATTTTCCATTATCATCTCTTCTGCCTGACAGGGATTAATTATTCAGTGGCAACAGACCAGACAAGCCAGACAGACAAGATGTCCATTTCCCCTTCCTCAGTCAGAGTTTGCTCTCTTGCCACTGAAAAAATCGTTGAGAACCAACATCCCAGTGCTGGTACCACTGGTGTCCCTGCCAGTGCTTTGAGGAAGGTCAAGCTTCCGAGTGGGAAAGAAATGCTTTCCTGAGGAGCTACTTCCTTCTCCTGGCCTTGCCTCCCCTCCTCTCCCCTTCCCGGGGCAGCTCACCCATGAAGTTGTAGTTCCAGGACCCTTGTGCTGGGACCATGAAGAAGCCGAGGAAGCGATCTGACAGCAGCATCTGCACCCTCTCGTAATGGGATGGCAGGTAGCCCTTGGGGTTGTTCCCTTTGTCCGTGTTCTGCCTGCCCCACTCGTAGCCGCTGGGGGTCAGCTTGTAGGCCGTCAGCGTGCAGGAGCCCGGTGTAAAGCTGGAAGAACCGAGAGATGGGGCCGGTCAGAGCGATGTGGGGCAGAGGAAGGAAACCAGAAGTGAGCAAACACCCCCCTTCTCTGCCAGAGGGGACGCACAGAGGCCTCCCTGCCTCTCACCTGCAGGTGATGATGATAGTCTTCTCCCCATCCCAGGAGGGGTTGTCAGCCATGACCTTGGCATGGGTGGTGACGTCCTGCGGCGAGAGCTGAGGGGACTCGTTTGGTTGGGTGTGAATCCAGCCCAGAGGTTCCATTTCCTGAGAAAAAAAAGTGTTTTAGAGAGAAAGGAAAAATGTTTAAAACAAGAGGGCTTCAAGCATGGCACAAAGAACAAGGACCGAAGGCTGCCCTTGCACCCCATCTCAGACCAGGCTGGGACCTGAAATCCCACATCCACAGCAGACCAAGGGAAGCTGCCCCACCACTTTAGGTCCCCATGACTGGAGAAGGTGATCTTCCACCCACGCTGGGAGCAGAAGCTCAACTCACCTTGAGATATTCGTGCTGTGGCAGCTGCCCCGGGAGATGGACAGTCTGGTGTGTTCCCCACTGGGGCACCATCACAATGCACCGGATCTCCTTCACTTGGGGGTTATCAGGAGGGCTCACTCCATAGAGGTAACCTGCAATCTAGGAACACACACACACCAGCCTCAGAAGCAAGAAGAGACCTCCCTGTAACTGTGTGAGAGTGGGTGGGCCCTGTCCTATGCTCATAAGGAGAGTATCTCTTGGCCAGCAGGTTCTCACTAGAAGAGGACATCACAGTTCTGTTCAATGCTGAATTTCCTGCCAAGTCTGGACCACGAGGAGCCACCAGGACCTGGCTAGAACTTGTCTGCTGAGCCATATTGCCAGTGTCTGTCTCGAGCTCAGAGGGCTTCACGAGCCCCAGCCCTTGGCCACTAGGTCCTGACTGGTGTGTGCCCCAGCAGCGTGGGCTACAGCTGTAACACACTCGTTGCACACTCACCTGGGCCCGCAGATCTGAGATGCAGATGAATTTCTTCAGCACATTCTTGGGAAGAATGTAGGTGTAACCCGTTTCCTTGATATCATCTGATGAAACATAGATGTGGTTTGTTCGCAGGTGGAGGTTGGCAGCAGAAATTGCTCTGTGAAGAGGAGACAATTATTAAGAGGGGGCACAGACCCCTTTCCTGAGCCTTCTGACCTCCTCCTCGCCCCACAGCCCTGTCTGCTTCCCTACCTGACTCGCCACTCTGTCTTGGAGGAGAAAGTCTGGGTTTCATAGTTGCTGGTTGTGGAGGTGATGATTTCATCCCCGTGTTTGTTGACAGTGCGGGTCTGCGTGGCCGTCAGCTGCGACTGCTCCTTGGTTTGCTTCTCAATTTCTGCAATCTGCTGTCTCTGCTGAGAGGGGGCAGAGATCTCCATGCCCAGGATGATGTCTCGGATCTCTGACTGAGTCAGGGATGCAACGTTCACGCTGGAAGGGAAAACCCACCCAAGTCAGGCATTTCAAAATACACCCTGGACCCTTCTCATCAAAGCACAAGATCAGAACATTCACCCAGGGCACTATGAAAAACCAAACCACAGCTTTTTTAGACAAGAGGAGGGACCAAATCACATGATGTGCTGATCAGAAAAGGTTTGGAGCAGACATTTTTTATCTGCCTTACTAGAAAGCAATTAATAATAATAATAACCAGCTTCCCTACAAAGCTGACAGTTCATTGCCAAAGGCTCTTGAAAAGTCTTCTACTCTCCACAGGGTGGATTCTGGCCACAGAGCAGGAAGGAAAGGCTGGCAGGATTATGGCTTACTTGTTCTTCTTGCCATAGTCAGCAAGGATGAGATCCTTCAGCTGCACCTCCACCTTGATCCACTCCTCATCTGTCAGGGTTGGCCAGATGTGGTGAGGCTCTGTTATGGTTGTCTTATCTGGCTTCAGAATGACTTTGGCTCGATCGTTGTTCACATGCAGTGCCCGGAGAATGAGGATCAGACGAGAGAATGCCTTGGAGAAGAAAGAAAGTTCACAGTTAGTCAGAAAGAAGGAAACCAAATACACATAACCGTAGTACAGCACTCCTCTGTTTGACAACACCGACATCACATGGGAAGTGCCAGTGGAATCAATCTGAAGGTAAATCCAGGCAGACCCAGAGGGAAGTGCTCCCAAGCAACAAGCTGTGAGGGATCTCTGGAGCCCTGGCTCCTGCCTCAGTTATCAGTGGCAAAGTAAAATGCAGACTGGGCCCGTTGTGCTTACCGTGTAGGAAGAGATGGTTTTCAGCCAGTCATCGTAGAGATTGAAGAGAACCATCTGGGGTTCAGTGGCCTTCAGGATGAGATCACCGAACTTTTCCACTTTGAGACAGGCCTGGAAGGGCAGCTGCAACTCTGAGCCTTTGATCACAATATTGGGGAAATCGAGCAAGTGCACCTGGAGGTTATCGAGAAGAGGAATTAGCTCACAACTACTGCAAAACATCTGTCCAGATAAAGTCCTTCACAGGAATACAGGACCCTTCTGCAGCCTCCCAAAGATTCCACAATGTCCCCAGAGAGCAGTATCTGCATCGGTACCTCAAGTGGGTCCAACATGCCCTTCCGTGTCACTATGATCTGCTTGGGCTGCTCCTCCACAGGAAGAGATCGAATCAAGGCTGCCACTTCCTCAGCAGTCTTCCACTTGGCCAGCTATGGAAAGACAGCAGGGTTAGAGAAATATCTCCCCACAAACAGCAGCGTCTCCATGACTCTGGGAATGAGAGAGACTCAAACCAAATTCTAAAAATACGACTGAAATTATGGCCTGTTCCAGATCAGTGACAAGGCCCAGCATTTCCCTCTCACTGATCACAGAGGGCAGTTCCCATTCCTGGAGTTCAGTTACTCCTGACTGGCTCAGAAAAAATAGCTGGCTGCTCTGCCTCCCTGGCTTTGTCACCTGAGAGCCTCCTCACTGCACTGGATGTACGGCCAAGCGCAATGTGATTTGCTGTCCCAGTGAGCACAGCCCTGTTTCTCAAGTCCCACGTGAAGATTTAAGCTCTTTATGCCTCAAAACCCTTGCAACATCAACACCTGAGCTCTTTTACTTTTACACCCCATGCTAATGCCTTCCTGAGCACAAGTTACACATGAGAAATTGGAGCTTTAAACTTGTCGAGAGGCAGGAAGCTGAAGATCTTTACGATGTCTTCTGCTCAAGTGAGCATCCCCAAGCAGTCAGAGCCCACCCCCAGCTCACACAGCCCAGCAGAGAACCAGGCCCTACCTGTCCCAGACGCTTCTGTCCTGCCCACACAGATGTGTGGATGATCTTCAGGAAGAGCTGTCCAGTCCTGGGGTTGAAGATGAAAATGGCTCCATTGATGGGTTTTGTGGTCAAATTCCCTTCAAAAGTCTGAGAAAACAAGCAAAAAGTACAATGGGATGAATGTAGCCTGTCCACACACACCTGACTCCCTGTGTGCTCTGAGCAGGAACTGTACCAGAAATGCACGAGCTGCTTTGTGCACACTGCAAAAGTGTGG